TATGTTTTAGTCCCATTAATTGAGACTTGTTCATTTAAACAGGGCTTGGATTTATACCGTAGATACTTCTAATCATTGTGTTAAGCAGGTCTCAGCCAATTAGACCAGGGGTCCCAACCTTGGCAACTTTAAGACGTGTGGACTTCAACTCCCAGAATTCCTCAGCCAGCTGAGGAATTCTGGGAGTTGAAGTCCACACATCTTAAAGTTGCCAAGGTTGGGGACCCCTGAGTTAGACGGTTCAGGATATTTACACAACCTAAATATGTTCATAGACACTGTGTCACTACCTAAAATAGTGACCATAAGTGTAAGATCATCAAAACAAAAATACAAAAAGCGAACAAAATTGTTTTAGGACTATAACCATACAATAATAAATGAGACCTTCATGGGGCCGAGGCAGTGTTTGAAACTATGGAAAATCATGAAAAATAGGTAACTGCTGCCCGATGCTCTTTTATTTTAATTTCATTCACTTATTTTACTTTGCTTCATTTCACTTGCTTTGTTGTATCTTGTTTGACGGCATTTCTTTTTTATTTTACTGCATTTCATTTCACGTCGGTTTCATTTTCGTGTCATTTCTATTTTATTTCACCTCACTCTACAGTCGGTGTCCACTCTTGAGACCACCCCAGGTCGATTTTCTCCATATAAATAAATAAAGATTTTTTTGACAGTTTGCAAAGGACAATACCGGTAGTCCTCAACTTACAACCATTCGTTAGTGACCTTTTGAAGTTGCAACAGCACTGAAAAAAGTGGCTTATGTCCGTTTTTCATACTTATGACCATTTCAGTATCCCCACGGTCCTGTGATCAAAATTTGCACACTTGGCAACTGTATTTATGACAGTCGCAGTGTCTCGGGGTCATGTGATCACCTTTTACGACCTTTTGATGAGCAAAGTCAAAGGGGGAAGCCAGATTCACTTAACAACCATGTTACTAGCTTAACAGCTTCAGTGATTCCCTCAACAGCTGTGGCAAGAAAGGTCGTAAAATGAGGCAAAACACACTTAACAGATGCTGCTGCTTAGCAATGTCAATTGTGGGCTCAATGGTGGACATATGTCAAGGACTACCTATATTTAGGCCAACGTTAGGCCAAGCAGACTTCCTCCAACCCATTACTTTCCAAATATTTCTGAAAACACTTCTGGAATTCCTAGGTAATTTATGAAGTTGTCACCTTTCCCATCTAGAGATCCAGGAAGAGGTTAGGGTTGGGTGTCCTATTTCTCTCTTATTCTGTCTTTCCAATCTTCAGCTGGAGATTCGCTCCTCGGCAAACATAGACCGCCTGCAGCCTCAGGCACGCCTGCCACTCACCATAAACACGGATGCCAAATCCTTTGTCTCTCTCTCTGCCACGGATGCTGCCGTTTACGCCCTCAACGGGAAGAATCGGCTCACACAAGGCAAGGTATGGTCCCTTCTGCTTCAGCCGCTCTCCTTGGGTATTTGGGAACACAAGTCCTCTCTTCGACTCCTTGTGTAATATGGTTGTGATGGTTGCGAAAGGGTTGGGCATGTTTGAGCACCTGAGAGTAAGGCGAGAAGATATTTTATTTTATTATTTTATTTATTTTATTTTATTATTTTATTTTATTTTATTTTATTATTTTATTTTATTTTATTTTATTTTATTTTATTTTATTTTATTTTATTTTATTATTTTATTTTATTTTATATTATTTTATTTTATTTTATTATTTTATTTTATTATTTTATTTATTTTATTTTATTTTATTTTACTTT